TTTCCTGTTGGGCTTACAGGCAAGAGAATGGCATATGTCACATGCCATAACCTTGCTGCCAACATCCCACTGTTAGAGTACAGGGTCTTCTGATGACACTACACCTGTGCTGTGGTCTTAACAGAATCCAGACATTCTGTCCAAGCTTGACAGAAATGACTCTTTTTTAGTTTTATTGCTAGCAATGATCTGTATTGTCAATACACAGAATTTCTCTAACATTTGTTCTTTCTTCTAGTGCTTACATGGACATTTCCATTCATATCGCATTTGTTTCTGGACTAATATTTCTGTTACGAATCCTATGCATTTTGTGGCTTCACCAAGTTACTCTATGTTCAGCAGATCCCTGTCGGCAGTAAGGCATACTATGGTAAAGCCAGGAACCCAGTAATTAGGAATTCTGTATTTTATGTCTCTAGAACACACTGTTTTGGTTAACTATCTGTAAATCACACACTTCTAAATTACATTTTAAGGTTATGACTTAAATGCTTCTTTCTTTGGCTTCACCATTATTTGGAGGTTCCCAGCTAGGACTATGAAACTCTTGTTGGATTTACCCTCTAAAATCCTCATCCTGTTTGCTGGTTTAAAATCAGCTTGGTTCTATGTGTAGGATAGTAGCAAAATGCAACAACCCGTTTGGGTTATGAGCAAGAGTTCAATTTAACTTCACTTTTTATTAGAAAGCTGATATTACCTAGCTGCAGCTGATCTTTTAGGCTCCCTCTGACGTTACTGGAAAGTGATATGCCCACAGTGTGATTTATCCCCTAAGTCTTAAAACAGTGATTTTATTATTATCACAGTGGTACCTGTTGCTGGACTAATCATAGGTGAAGCATCCATGCCTACTTTTTACTAGGAAAGTAGTTAGAATATGTGGTTTTAGTAATATAGTGATGCATTTTAAATGTGTATCTGGCATGGTAAATAATGTGAAACAGAAGTAAACAGTCACTGGTCACCTTTTTCTGAAATAGCAATGATTGAGACTTCGGAGGCTTTTGAATTGTTTTGGCTGCAACTTTTTTGCTTTATAGCTTCATTACATTTTCAACTATTCTGACGGTTTGTTTACTGATAATCCAGGGAAAAGATATGAATAAATATCCTTAACTATTGTTAATATCAGCATTTTTTCTGCAGTTTCCAGTTTTGATGGAATAGCTTTTTTCCCTGCCTCTCTTATTCTTTGTGGTAACAGTGATGTCTTCTTCTTGTTCTACTATTAGGCATGTTATTATCCACGGGATTGATGACCAACATTTGTGGAACCCAAAGAGAGATGAATGTTACAAACACCTATCTAGTGGAAATGGAAGGAAACAGTTTGATTAATCTTACCTAGTTTATACATTGGCCCAAACTTATATGTGCCTATTCTCTTCAGTGGTTTTGAGCGAAGCTGGGTTTGACTTGAATGTACACCAGCATTAAATCCAGTTATCTTTCCTTTTCCCTCTTGGAGTAGTCTTCTCTTCTTCATAGAACCACTGAATCATAGAATGGTTTGAGCTTGAAGGGAACTTTCATGGTCATCTAGTCCAACTAGATGAGGTTGCTCAAAGCCCCATCCAACCTGAGGTTGAACACTTCCAATGATGGGCATCCACAGCATCTCTGGGCAACCTGTTCCAGTGCTGCACCACCTTCATAGTAAAGAATTTCTTCCTCATCTCCATTCTAAATCTATCCTCCATCTAATTCTTGTTGTGAGGAAACTGAGTGCTCTGTCCAAGCTGAGGTGTTGCTGTGAAGCAGATTGCACATTAGCAAAATAGGAAGTGAGAGGGATGGCATTCCTCAAAGCGACTCCTGATCTTCTGTGTGCTGATGGCATTTTCCTAACCACAGGAGTTGAGAAGAAAAAGGTTCTGCAATTAAATATGCTATTTAAATTTAATTTTTTTTTAATTCAGTTGAGCAATGAAAAAGAACAAGTTTGGAAAACATCTTGCTCTCTGTATTCTCAAAAGTTTGAATGATTCTGTTTTTAAAATAGAGTAAGAATCTGATATGAAACTAACTTGATGTAGCTAGTAGAGGGATCCACACCAGGGATGCATAAACTTTTCTGAGGTCTTAGAACAGAAACCTTCAGTCTAAATGATGATGAGACTTCAACTTAGGTTGTGAACTTTTATAGTACAGATCTTCTCATCCACCTCTTCCCATATCCAGCCCCCAGCCTTTCAGAAAAGAAGAGCGTGATTCATCTCATTTCTTTCAGATGTCTCTTTGAGATGTGGTGAATCATGCTTTAAAAGCCCTTAATGAATTTTCATTGATTATAAAGGTAGCAGAAATTATAAGCATAGTTGTCTGATGTCATTTGGCCATATGAGTCCTACCCAAAAATTTTATTGTGGTATACTTTCCTAGTGGTCTAGCAATTAGTAAAAATCATTTAAGTAAAATTAGATGAGCCACTGTTCCATTCCCAATCCTTCCCAAGAAGAAATTTTTTAAAGAAAGCAAGTACAATTAGGCAATGAAACTAAATCATTATTGATAGGAAAGACATAGAAAATCTATTTTTTCCTCAGTTGTGTCTCCTACCCACTCTCCCTTTTCTCCCCACAGTATTGCCCTCTGTCGTCTTCTGCTCTTTTCAGCCTTTTTGTAACCAGTACTAGTTTTTTGGATCCCCAAGGCAAACCCTGCTTACAAACACAATGTAGCCCCATGCATTATAGCACAGCTACAGTTTATGTAGACTAGACATATAGAAAGAGTTACTCCTTTCATCATTGTAATCATCACTTTTGTAAAGCGAGTAGCATGTGTTAGCAGTCTTTTTTTTTTTGCGATTTCATACGTCGGTTGTGATACAATCATGCAAACAAACAGCAAACACCAGCAGCCCACTCAGCACTGCAGAAAATGGAAGGGATTATCTTTGCTAGTGTTTGCTTATATTGCAGCAGGACCAGGCTGAATTATGAACTCATTTGTGCAAAACACAGAACAGCTATGTGGCCCGAAATGACCTTGCCCTTTGCAAGCGTACAGTGTTAAACAGGAGAGAAGAGGGTCGAAGCATACCATAATCTAGTCTTCCCAAGGTCATGCCCTAGGTGAGCAGTGGAGCTGAAGAAATCTCTCCGGCTACAGTGTAGCCCACTCGTTTGCTCTCACCGTCATTCTGCAATGCTCTCAGATCTCCACTTTACTGGTAGAAGCATATGCAGGTGGCTTTTGTGTTTCTGGGTGACATAAAGATAATTATGATGCCAAGGAACATTATTCTATCATAGTTCATTGTTCACTACTAATGTTTTAAAGAAAATTTCCATTCTTGATGTTTTCGTACAATATCATTTTGCTTCTTTGTTAGTACTCCCAGGGTGATGAACATATTCTTCCACGCTGAAGAAATCATAGTCTTTTTATCCTTGTAGTTGTTCTGAAAGTAGCACATAAATAGTAAAGTGATCACCAGCTTTAGCAGGAAATTAAATAAACCTTTATTTTAATTACCCCATACTTCTGAATTAAATTCATGTGTATTGTTAATAGCTGTTTTAATTAATTAAGTGGTATTTCAATTTGAGGTATAAATTTGGGGGTTTCTTTTTGTAATTTACTGTTTTGGCATTATTAAGTATTCCATTATGTTACCTGAGCTCACATCTTTTTTAAGCTAAAATAATTATCAAGTGAAAATAAGTGAGGAAAAAAAAAATTTAGTTCACTCAAGAAACCTTATCTCTGTACTCATACAGCTGCCAAAAAACCCTGTGTGTATTAAATATGCCCTCCCCTAAGTTTTATTGCCCAAGCAGTCAGGCTGGTGAGTTTGCGATAAAATGCCAAATTCCAGACAAGTGATTTTTTACTATTGCAGTTTACTGCTAAGGCTGCAGCTATGTCTAACTTATTTGTTTTAAGAATGACTGAACAGCATAGATTTCATAGATAAAACTTGTCATTATTCTCTAAATAGATGTAACTATTTTTTATATACAACTAAAAAAGAAATGCCTGGTTGAAGCAATAATCTAAGCAGGTTATTGTCAGTAACAGCTGATTTGCTCACCTGGAAGTTCCTGTTAGCTATATGATCTATGAAAAATCAGCTGTATGAAGTAGATTTTTATGGAAATAAAACACAGGAGTTTCTGTCTTTTCTCTGACTGAGAGGTAAAAGTGTTATTATAAATGAAAGCGATGATTTGCCTGTTTATGCAATGTGTCAGAGCATAGGAAAAGCAAGAAAAGGGTAAAACTGTCTTTTTTTTTTTCTTCCCTCAACATCTATTTATTTTGCCTTCCTTTTCCTGAATCATATTGGCATGTATTATTGACAATGATCCAAAGTTTGGCTCTTTGGGTGTTTATCTGCGAATTTCACAGATCACTGAACAGAAGTTATGTATGTACAAAGGATTATTGCTTTCTTATTTTATGTATCTGTAGCCAAAGATATTTGAGTCCTATAAAAATATGCAAAGCAGACTTAAATCCAGATATCTACACCTTTTATCTTTCACAGACCCTTCAATGTGGTAGTACAGAAACTTGCAAAATCTGTAGTACGTGTCTCCAAGTATTTTTCAAATTGTGTGGAAAATCAGAATACCTTTAATTTTGTTCTGATAGACAGTGACGTATTTTGTACCAACAGGTAACAAAATAAACTCCAAGCTTCAGAGTTTTACTACTGGTCATAGCACGTTGTGCCATAACTTCCTGATGTAGGCTGCACTGGCCCTGGAGACAACAAGCCATGGGTAGAGAATCATCACTGATTAGATTCTTTTTGTCTCTACCTTCCAATAATTGTACATGATAAAGAATTTCCTTAATTAATTTCTGTCCCTCACCTTCCAGGGAAAGTGAAAGTGTGTTAACCTCACAAATATCTCTTCAGTTATTTGTATTTCTGTAAAAAATAATGCAATTTTACAGTAGATTAAATATATGATGCTCTTGAAATCCTCTTTAGTGTTCTATATATATTGCTAATATTTTGTTTTCCATATTTACTCCAGGTCTGGGATTCAGTATTGCAGGAGGGGTTGGAAACCAACACATCCCTGGGGACAACAGCATTTATGTCACGAAGATTATTGATGGAGGAGCTGCACAAAAAGATGGGAGGTTGCAGGTTGGAGATAGACTTCTTATGGTAAGTATGACAAATTTAAATGACATTTTATTTGGCTGAAAATTGTTTCATATAAGGATGTTATTCACCATACATTTTACTGGAGGTAACCACTACGTCTTTTGTAATAATTATGTGTTATAGTTCTGTCACCTTCATTTTTCCACTTATTTATATGTATTTCTGAGGGTGCAGTTAAAAAAGAATTACACTAGAAAACCAACATTGTACGAAAAGAAGACAATGGGTTATATTGCTGTGACAACCCTTCAGCTCAGTAGAGAATAAACATATTATGCATATTAGTGACAAGTCAAAATTCACCACAAAACTTCCAAGGAAGGTTTTAGGCAAACAGTTCATTACGGCAGTACTGATTCTATTGATCCTTGTAAGAAAACTGAAAGATGTGAAAATTGGAAGATGTCATTGAACTCTCACGTGTCAGTGGACTATTACCTGCATTTCAGTACATGTAGGAATGCTCTGTGTATATGATCCAAAAAAAATATGCTTTCCATCTTTTTCCTTGGGAAAATGTACTTACTCCTCTGATGGATCTCACTTCAGGAAATTCTTCCTTATATCTGCAGTGCTAGTACATAATTCCCTGTAGATAATTATTTCCCACTCACAGAGTTTGTTTAATTCATTGTTAAGGGGGAAATCCTGACCCTGGTGAATCAGCAGAAGTTAATCTATGTCAAGTTGTATTCATGTCAATGTGATTACATAGATTTCAGCTGGTAGAGAAATATTTTTTGAATGAGTGCCATGAAAAAATTGTACTGCAGTAGCTCTGTTTTGTGACATGATAAATGAGCAGTAAAAAAATGCCATGACCTTCTTTTGCTGTCTGCAAAACTGTATTTAACTGAAGCTTTCTTCCAGTCACATGTGAAGATGACCATTCATTTTGTACAGGGTATTACACAGAACAGGAAAGGCACTTGGTTGCTGGATTGGTGACTGCTTGGCTTTTTTTGATTAACCCAAAAGGACAGATAAAACAGCTTAAGGATCAAATGGTATTCTCAAAATCGAATCAAAATGAAACTAGAACTTCCAATTTCTTTGGCATTTCTTCTTTGCAGGTTCTCAGCAGAGTAAAATTCAAGTCATTGTTCTATAATGAAATTTTGGCTCATTTTTCTATAGAAATCCCTATTTCTATTTGCCAAACTTGTGGCTTATTTTCTTATTTTGTGTCTTGTAGAAAATCTGCTTGTGTTCAGCTGTTGTTTTTTTTCATTATGGCAATTTCTCACAATTTTTGTCACCTGTAAATCTTTGTTACCTTACTCTTAAATTCTTCCAACTCATTTGAGGTAATAAATAATACATACAATAAAAGCAGCTGCAAAACCCCCACATTCACCATCTTCAGTGTAATTTAATCAGGATAAATTTGAGTATAAAAATCATTATTTTATACACCACAACATGTAAATTTATTCTTTCCAGATTTTTGTAGGATTTGTCTATTAAGCATCTCTTCTCATTCTTGAACCTGTGATTTATTGCAGTCAGATATAGATGTTTCTTCATTGTGACAGGTTTATATGCCTGAATCTGACTTCTGAAAATGAGCAGAGGTCATCTCTTTGTGTTTGATGTCTTTATACTGCTTTCCTTTCAGTCTAGACCAGTTCTTTACTTACCATCATTTTCTTTCATTATTGCACGTAAAATGAGCAAAAAACCCCAATCATAATATTGCTCTCCACTAGTTATGGTCTTCCGGACCAAGATTTCCACTGTTCCATAAGAAAATCCCAGTCAAATTATTCTTTGTATACCTTAATAATTACATGATTGGAGATAAATTTACAAGATCAAAATCTACGTCTAAAATTCATGCAGATTACAGCCATGTTTTCTGGTTCTCTCCAAGATACCCAGATTTCTTTGTAGCTTGGGTAACTTCAATATTTTTCTCTTCTACTTTATGAAGTATCTGTCAGTTCATGGCATTTACTTCACATTCCTTTGTGAAAAGTGAATGAAAGAATTCATTACATTCTTTTGGCAGTGTATCAACACAATACTACCCTTGTCATCTATACGGTCCTAGTTCTGCTTTACTGATTCCATATTCATTATATACTTGAACACTTTGTTTCTATTTTTTTCTTCTCAGTAGTGCATCCTTTCTTGATCTTTATTTTTTCCATCATTTCTCTATAAATTTACCAGACTTTGTCATCCTTCTGATGGGGATGGGGGGCTGCATCCCGCCTGGACAAGGTCCTGTGCAGCCTGCTGTAAGTGACCCTGCTTTGGCAGGAGGGTTGGACTAGATGACCCACAGACGTCCCTTCCAACCCCTACTATTCTGTGATTCTGTGATTCTGTGATTCTGGAATTATCAGCAGCTGATGGGGGGCTTGTTTAATTTTTGTATCTGTGTTCTGAAAATGTGTGTGAAATGCTTTCAGATCCCAAGGATCATGCTAATCAAATGCATTAAAATTTAAGATGTAATAGAAGAGATGCTGCAAAATCAGAACTAATATTGAAAAGTAATACAGTTAGGTGCTACCTGAGCATTTTGCAGTTTGGTGACCTACTGTTATTAAATGCAGATTGCTAATAGTGTGTTAGGCGTTCAGAAGATATATGATATAGTATTTAAATACTGAGCATTGTGATTATTGTGAAATCTGTTTAAAGGCATGTCTGAGCAGTTATGGTTCTGTGGCAATGAGCCTGCACTTAAGGCTTATTATCCCAACCACTTCCACAGGAAAATGTTCCATTATAGGATAATCCTGAGGTGACCGTTAGGAAAATTACTGGAGGAAGCATATGAGTTGTCAAGCTGAAAAACAAACTCAGTGGTTTTTCTAGGTATATATATATATTTGCAGATGGTCACAAATGGTGTTCCCCAGGGCATAGTTTTGGGGCCAGTCTTGTTTAACATCTTTACCAATGATCTGCATGAGTGGATTGAGTGCTGCCTCAGTAAGTTTGCAGATGACACCGAGATGGGCGGGAGTGTCGATCTGCTTGAGGGTCAGAACGCCCTGCAGAAGGACATGGACAGACTGGATCGATGGGCTGAGGCCAACTGTATGAGTTTCCATAAGGCCAAGTGCCAGGTCCTGCACTTGGGTCAAAACAACCCCATGCAACGCTACAGGCTTGGGGAGGAGTGCCTGCAAAGCTGCCCGGTAGAAAAGGACCTTGGGTGTTTGTTAACAGCCAGCTGAACATGAGGCAGCAGTGTGCCCAGGTGGCCAAGAAGACCAATGGCATCCTGGCTTGTATCAGGAATAGTGTGGCCAGCAGGAGCAGGGAGGTGATCATGCCCCTGTACTCGGCACTGGTGAGGCCGTACCTAGTCTACTGTGTTCAGTTTTGGGCCCCTCAC